CCTTACATGTGATGTAAGGCGATTAATTAAATACAAGTAAACAGCGACTTAGGACACCTTATTTTCAGACGAACATTGATATTCAACGGGAATGAGCTTAAGAGGAACTTTCTTATGAACAGTAATTCCAGCTTCCTCCTCCATGCAGATATCTTCTTCTGCCATCCCTTCCGGTAATTTCCAATCAAAGCAATACAAAAGATTTGCAAGTGTCAGCTCCACTATCGCGACCGCCTTTTGCACTCCCGGACAAATTCTACGACCACTGCCGAACGGTAAAAACTCATAATTCTGCCCCTTGAAATCAATTGGACTGTCCAAGAACCTTTCGGGGTAGAACTCTTGGGGGTTTTCCCACACATTTGGATCCCGCCCGATGGCCCAAACATTTACTTGTATTCGGGTCTTTGAGTCGATGATGTAACCCGAGACGTAGAATCGGGTAATGGCTTCCCTTGGAAGCAGCAATGTCGCCGGAGGATGCAGCCGCCAGTTTTCCTTCACCACCGCCTTCAGATATGGAAGTTTTTCGATGTCAGTTTCTGAGACTTTCCCTTTATTCCCAACTCTGTTTCTTATTTCTTCCTGTACTTTCTTCATTACTCTTGGGTTCTTTGCCAGCTCCGCCATGGCCCAAGCGATGCTTATGGCACTGGTATCGGATCCGCCAAGAAATAGGTCCTGATCGGTGACAGATCCAAAGGTGGTCAGTTTGAAAATTTCAGAAAAAATACTCATCTTATTAGGCCTCAATCTTTTAAAATTGCTTGTGAAGTCAGTCAATCCTAAAGAGTAATCGCTAAAAATTGCTTTTTAAAAGAAGAAACATTGCAAAAACAGAGAAGTGCAATGCTTACCATAAGAATAGCTTTGATGTGATTGTGAGTGATTTCTTCGGTACCCGATGCCTTCTCATATTTCCCTATTTTTATCAGAACGTCGATGATATCTTCGTGTTCTTCCTCTGTAATTCGGCAACCGGAGCAGAGGTGATCGTCTAGCACTTTCTGGAAGAAAGCATCCAGTTTTTTAAAATTCTGTTCGAGTCTTCTATGGAGACCGGTGATTCTGTCCACAATCCAACCAAAGTAAGGGAAGAAATCAGCGGCCGCAAAGCTTCCCAACATAGCAAAAGCTTCATGGATTACCTCTTCGTAATTCGCGCCGAAATCTTCGTATCCCCTTTCTCTGAAGCTCTTTCCAAAAGCAACCCGACAAGTAATATTGGCGGTAAGAGACATCAGCTTCTCACTGAGGTTGACCGGTGTCCCCAATTTGGAGAATTCCGAAATTGATTTTATTAGGAATTCCACCTCTTCTTCCCTGACGAATCGGAAAGATTGGACCCTTTTAATGCTGAGGAGTTCGATAGCGCACAGACGTCGCATTTCCCTCCAGTAATCGCCATAAGCAGAAAAGGCGACGTCGAGGTAGTTATAGGACAGCTTCCCGGAACCCGTCAAGGGAGGTCGGCTGCAGCAATCGAGATCGTGGGCTTTAAAGAGTTCTTTTGCGGCTTCTGCTGAGGATACAATGAGTGTTGGGACAAATCCAAGATGAACAAGCATTACAGGGCCATGTTTCTTTGACATTTCAGCAAACGACTGGTGGGGAATTGCACCGATTTGGTGAAGGTTTCCGATAATTGGAAGTTTTCGAGGGCCAGGAGGAAGCTGCAGCCTCTGCTTTTGCTTTTGCATCTTCTGGAGAAGAAGAACTAAGAGAAACAGAAAAAGAAGAAGAATAAACATTGGCACAACTACTAATGAAGATCCTCAAAGTTGTTTTAGCTCTCAGCTTTCCTGACTTCGAAAACTTTAACATCCCCCACAATTTATAGCCGAGGATGCAATTCAACTCCGTGTGTCGGTAAGAGCCGTATGGAGTTATTTATCATCGGTTTCTGTGTGTTTACGTATAAAGTAGATAAATTTAAGATGTATTTATTTTATTT